CGTGGACACTGACATCAACATGTGGCAAGGCCATTACTCACAACATGTTAGCCAGTATGAAACTCCAACACTATTATTAAAATATAGGAACATACCTCTTGGCAAAGCACCTCCTACCACTGGAGGTATGCATACCCAGTTTGAATGCCATTGCTCTAGAGCCAACCAAGCACTAATGGAAGCACTCTGCTAAAGGGCTTTACAGTTACTTGCTAACAGCAAAGAGACACCAAGACCTGGAAATCCTAGATGCTATCCCAAGTTCTGAAAGGCCCATACTCTCAACAGTTATAGACCCATCTCACATGCTCCAGCTTGTCTTCACCTCCTGGTCTCCACCCACATTTCTCCCAGCTCAGAGTTCTGGTTCTTAGTTTGGAACCCAAGTTGTAGAAGAAACAGTCTACTGCAGGAGCTTAAGATAAAAAAACTCCACTCTGCCATGCCTATCCAATTTTCCCTCACTTTAAATTCCCTTCTGTGGATTCAAACTGTGTAACAAGACTACATGGTGACAAAGTATTGGATGTAGCTCAAAACTAAGTATTAAGAGGAAGAAACTGAGCATTGTTTAGAAAAAATGAGCAGACTTGGAAGTTAAAGCCTACTTGGTTTTAATGTCACTTCTGAAGATGATATAAAATATAGCTTTTCTGACACGTTGACCCTTTCCATTTCTATAAAATGGGAATAATTCCACCTGTCAAGCCCACAAAGCATTTAAATGCTCAATTCCCCCAAGAGACCGACGCCACAACTCAAAACTTCAGCCATCAACTCATTTGTATATGGAATATTCAATCTTTGCAGTTAATAAAAGTTTCAATTACCATCAGATGGAGAACTGACTTCTGTTTTAACCTTTGATTTTTCAAGGTCTTCTTTGTATTCTTTCTTCAGCTGTTTTACTATCTTTTTGCTGTAACTTGATTTCTTCACTTTAAAAACTTCTTCAGCTTCTTTAGAAGAAAAATTGGACATTCAGTGATTTGCAGAAGTCAGCCACACCTCCAAAGTAAGCATTTACCTTTCTGACAAATCTTTTGACAGGCCATACAGAACAACTAGATCAGAGACAGGGACATGGGTAGATTTTTTTAAAATTAATGGGGGGTAGATTATATTTTAATTAATGGGGGGGTTTGCTTTATTATACTCCTTCTTTTAATATTTAATTTTCTAACTATTTAGCAAGGGCCATATTGGATAAAACCAATTGTCCACCTAGACAGATATCCTCTCTCTGACATGTAGCAAATACCTTAGTGGGAGAGTATATAGAGTATGTCTAGGGCTTATTCTCTATCATACCCGTCATGGCGTTAACCATTTAGTTAGGGTTGTCATCCCTAACTGTTCTATTTAATAGCTTCCAATGGACCTGTCCTCTATGGATTTGGTTAATCTCTTTGTGAACAATCCACTTTACAAATAATAAATGAATTAGCCTTTTATTGGAAGCTTCCCTGAGCTGTTTTTGGAAAAGAACACACATAAATTACTGTATTTCCTCAAATCCAAGAACAAAAAACCCCTCACCAAATGTTTTTGTCCTGAGGACTGAGCTCCTGGAGTCACGTGAAAACATGAGACTCATGTTCCCCACCTCCCCAAATGACACTTGCAGCTCAGTGGCTGGCAAGGGGAAGTGTGGAAACGAGCCCAGTGGGCAAACGAAATTCACCTAACGCACATTTTCAATATAACCTCTCTATCGGGGAGGAGGGGTCCCTCTGAGGGGCATCACCTTCCCCACAACTGCAGTCAGGAACTGCTGCTCAGAGGCAGCAGGGTCCCACCACCCCTTCCCCCTCCCACACAGCATGTCAGTGGTAGAGCCCCCTGCCTGGTAGGGAGGGTCAGTGTTAGAGCCCACCCCCTCCCCAGTACAGCAGGTCAGTGGTAGTGTCCTGCCCTCTTCCCCACCATGCAGCAGGTCCGTGGTACAGCCCCCTACCCAGCAAGAGTCACTGGTACAATCCCAGCTTCCAGTCCCCTCATGAAGCAGGTCAGTGGTAGAGCCAAGCCGCCACCCAATACAGAAAGTCACAGTTACAGCCCCAGCACCAGCCCCAAGAGGCAGGTCAGTGGTAGAGGCCACCTCCTCCTGCCCCCACGCAGGGGATCAGTGGTACAGCCCCCTACCTGGCAGAGGGTCAGTGGTATAAGCCCCTATTTGGCTCAGTGGTAGAGTCCAGCCCCCCCATCCCCGTGCAGAAAACCAGTGGTACAACCCCCTGCCCCACGCAGGTCAATGGTACAGCCTGCCCCCCTTTCCCCCTCGGGGCCGCTCCCGAATATCAAACATGTCCCCCCCTCCCCCCGCC